ATGTTACATCTTTAACTTAAAAAAGCTATACTGCAAAAAATTGTAATTTATTGGGGCCTTGTAATGAAGTTCGACTCAGGCCCGAGTTTAGGTAGGATCGGCACTGCAGTCCTCCCGAAGCCTTGCCAGGTAAGTAACGAGCATCAGTGTTCATTTTCAACCTCTCACTAGGTTTCCGCCATTTTAGAACCTGTAAATTGTAACTTTTACTGCGAAAATCCTTTCTAATAAGATGCTCTTCATACAGGATTTTATCAACCGAACGAAACTTAATTTTCTGCAAAGATTGAGCCCATGATTGTGTGTGGTGTTCAATAGAGATGATAATACCATCAGTAGACGTATTAGTTTGCCCTCTTCCCACTGGTAATTTGAGTAAATTTTCCAGATATGCCTTGAAATGATCCCAGAAATGTAGTGTTTAAACACGTCCAATATATGTAGTGGTTTGTTGTTCTGATGGTTTGGTTTGCCAAATCAGCATTTTTAGCAAAACTATTTTTAAAACAAAAGATACTTCAATTGTTTGTTCTAATAGTTAGTTATTTGCTTTAAAATTGCAAGCAAATGAGATAGAAATAACCGCTTGTTTGATAAGTAAACAACACAGTGTGTCCAATTACAAGTATTATTCCAAATAAACACATTTTACAAGAAATTCTTTTAAGTATTTGTAGTTAAATAAAGAACTATATCAATTGAAGAAAATTGTAAATTAACATATATTATGGGCGGTGGAAGTGATGATGTCGGTGATGGATTTTGCAATCCGGTGGAAAAGTCATCAAATATAGAAAAGAACAATTAATCACATGATCAAATCTGCAAGTGACTAAAGTGGCGGGACTAAAAACAAGCACAACCAAAAGTTACGGACTAAATTCCCCCTATTAGTTATTTTACTAGCTCTCGACAATGACTCTTATAATGATTATTTAAAGTTAACCATCATTTAAAAACTAGATTTTCCATTGATGATTGCTTAAAGTGAATTATCCAGTCAAGGCGATTACAAAACTTCTGGTTCTATTTAATTTTATGTATGGACAATGTATGGTAAAAAGGAAACAAGGTTGATGCTTTCACTCCAAGCTAGTTTGATACCCATTTCCCTCCATGCTGCTTGCCATGTGCCAAGGTTATTATACTTTGAAGCAAATAAAGTGGCAATACCAGTACGAATGGAGTATTTCTTAAATAATTCATTTCCAGCGCTGTAATTTTGTATATATACCGACTTGTAAACTAATAAATACAGACAGTTTTTTATTCACAGAGGCTCAGAAAGGCAATATAATTGTCTTTGTATAATTGCATACTCCCTCCGTCCCCTTTTAAATGTCCCGGAAGAGGGTGGCACGAGTTTTAAGAAAAGTATGTTTGTGTGGTTGATATTAATAGATAAAGTAATAATAAAGTAAGAATAAAGTAAGAATGATTTTGAGCCATACAAATTTTACCAAATAAGGTATGGGACAATTAAATAGGGACATCCCAATATGGTAAAATGGGACATTTAAAAAGGGACGGAGGGAGTATATGCTTAGAGAATATGGCAGTCTGATATGTGAGAAGAAAATTTTGTGTATGACAGTTGGTGCACAAGTTGGTGTATAGCTTGGTGTACAAATTGCATAACCTTTCAAGAAATTAATTAAGTTTTAAAGTAGCTAGAATTAATTTCCTTAGTTATGCCAGAATATTGTGAAATATATAACTAACACGCCTAATTATAATACTCTCCATCTCATATTGATAGTCTCATACTTTTATGGCACAAACGTTAAAAAAAAAGTGGAATAAATTTTACCAACTGCCCTTTATAGAAAGTAACCCTTTTGAAAGAATTGAGCTACTACTGAAAGAGAAGTCAAATGGACACTTTATAAAAACTTAGTCAAATAAATAAATGGTACTATCAATTTGGGATATCCCAAAATGGAAATTAGGGACTCCCAATTTGGGACGGATGTAGTATGTATTTAGTATGCTATTTTTAGAAAGTAGTAAGAAAGGACTACCTAAAAAGAAGGTTGAATTTCTATTTTAAATGATTTTAGCCAATGTAGCAAAAAATGAACTGTACATAACACGAAGTACACGAAATTTGTTAATTTAGTCTTGTAACATATATCTATGTAACATTATATTATGTAGCTCATAAATTTGTCCACATTAAAAGCTATTTCGATTATTCTTTTGGATCTGCCACTGCGTCCCACCTTCTAACGTAGCATTGTGTGATTATCTGCTGAATGGTTGAGTTAAGATGAGTGTGAATCTTTGCTTTAAAGGCAGCTATGCAAGGTTTCTGCTTTGGACATGGACCTATCTATATATTGATCAGATCAATTTCCCAAATGTGGAATCTGGAGAAGCTAAGCTTGTGAGAAATGGCTAATAAGCATAAACTCATCAAACCTGGTTATGAAATGCAGTTTCTCAGGGCTGCTATCTGTATACTATTGTTAGCAAAGTCAAACTCATCATATTCATTGAAGGACAGCAGTAACCCTAGTTATTATTATAGATTTGAAGATCAAGTTCGGTACGTAACAAAAGACCCGATCGAGTAGTGTTGCCATGCAAATATTGTTTTCCTTCAATGAGCCTCGTCCCACATGTTTAAGTCTTGAGAGCTACCTCTTGTAAACGTTTACAAGATCGATTAGGCTTTCCCGGCCCCCTTGTGGTGGGAACCTTGCCTCGTGGGTTATGCACCGGGCTTATGTTTATATCGTTTCCCTTAATGTAGTGCTTGCATGCATGCTTAATTATAATTGCTTATTATTGATTGAGAGCTACTCAAAGGGGTTGTTTGCAGGAGTGAGATGGCGGGAGAAGAATGGGGGATGGTTGAGACGAATGGAAACGGGCAGTTTGTATTGAACGGGCAGCCCTTCTATGTGAATGGGTTCAACACATATTGGTTGATGGTGTTTGCTGCAGACGAGTCGACCAGAGGGAAAGTGAGCGATGTGTTTAAGCAGGCGTCTTCTGTTGGCATGACCGTCTGCCGCACTTGGGCTTTCAATGATGGCCAGTGGAGAGCTCTTCAGATATCTCCCGGGGTCTATGACGAACTCGTCTTCAAGGTAGAGAAATAACTCAAGACTTTATATATTCATACCACAGATTTATAACGAAGTTGTCATCAAGGTCTAATTTCCATCCTTTCAATTAATTCTATGATTGTTTTTTCAATCCTTAATTGAGTCTTTCGTATGTAAGAACCCAAGCCTATGTTTTTGTTAGTTTCTATGTTTTTAATTGGATGATTTATATTCAAGTACTTTGCGTATGTGATATCACATTTCTTGTTCAGATTGTTGTTATTGTTATTATATTCAACACGCACCATTTTGAGTTTTCAGGGATTGGATTTTGTGGTGAGTGAGGCAAAGAACTATGGTGTGAGGCTTATACTATCTTTTGTTAACAATTGGGAACCCTATGGAGGCAAAAAGCAATATGTTAAATGGGGTAAAGATGCAGGCCTCAATCTTACTTCTGATGATGACTTCTTTTCAAATCCTACTATCAAAGCATACTACAAATCTCATGTTAAGGTAACACACTATTTACTGAGACTATTATGCATATAGATAATATTTCTTGATTTCTTCCACTTAAAATTTGATTGGTACGTTTTGACCCCCCCCCCCCCCCCAAATGTCTCTCCAAGGCTGTGCTGAACAGAATAAATACCATCACAAACATTGTATACAAAGATGATCCTACCATTTTTGCATGGGAGCTGATAAATGAGCCCCGTTGTGAATCGGACCCGTCGGGAGATACATTGCAGGTTTTTATAGTCATTTTTAAAGGAAAATGTATAGCTCTTCAATCTTATATACAAGAAGTGGCTCAATGTCTTATACTAGATGTTTTAATTTGCAACCCAACCAAACTTTACATAAAAAAATGTACCAATGCAGAATTGGATACAAGAAATGGCAGTCTGTGTGAAGAGCATGGACCCAAAACATCTTGTAGAGATTGGTTCGGAGGGTTTCTATGGCCCGTCAACACCTAGCAGGACTCAATTCAACCCAAATACCTATGCTCAACAAGTTGGAACTGATTTCATTAGAAATCATCAAGCTCTCGGGATTGACTTTGCCTCCGCCCACATTTATCCCGATTCTTGGTAATAGATTATTATTATCAATAATAATAATGATTCTTGGAGATTATAGTAGCTTGGTGTTTTATATATGAATTTCGATCATCCACCTGTTTTGAAGGATTTCACAAGACATCACTGAAGCACATGTGGAGTTCACGAAATCGTGGATGCAATCGCACATTGAAGATGCTGAAAACTACCTGCAGATGCCGATCATTTTCGCTGAGTTTGGTGTTAATACAAAAGACCCCGGATACAATTCAACATACAGGGATGCCATTTTCAATACTGTCTACCATAAAGTCTTGAACTCTACAAAGAAAGGTGGCAGCAGTGGTGGAGCCCTTCTGTGGCAGCTCTTCCCAGATGGGACAGATTACATGGATGATGGGTACGCGATAGTACTTTCAAAGGCAGTTTCCGCATCACGCATCATTGCTCTTCATTCTAACAGGCTTAAAATGTTCAACTCTCTCTGCTCCACAAAATGTCGATGGAGTTGTAAGAAGAAGAGCACTTCGGATACGGACTCCTTACTTGATCATGATACTTCACTTGATCATGATGAACTTTAATTTAAAATAGCATATAATAAATCACATCCCATGTATCATGCAACATAAACTATAGACTGCGTTCTTTTATTGTTGATTGGTACCATTACCATAGGTTATATGTTTAGAATAACTTACGCTGTTTAGCATGTTGTAAACTTATAAATGATCACTGCGTCTCACTTTGCTAAAAGGGGAAAACATGGCATATCCCTACTTTAATCATGTTGAAATACTAATTGAGTTGCTAATTTGCTATGCAGGAGTAGATTTTAGACAATTAGACAATCTATACGTTAAAAGTGAAAAGGGACAATAAATGTAAAAGAGAATCTCATACAAGCACATAAGTTATTGGTGGGAAATAAAATAATGCATAAATTCAAATCTGAGGGTCAAACTCAATTACTCCATGCTAAATCTAGTAAACCATCTTTTTAACATATACGGAGTATACCCTAGGAAGGAAGCAGATTCTGGTACCTAGACGAGAGGGCTACCGCTCCTCTGAAGGAAGGAGGCAGCAGGTCTCACGTAGGTGAATCCCTGAAAGAGATCACAATTAGGGCTGGAAACCGGGGAATCTTGCAGGGGCATATCGGTCCAGCACTTGTCGAAATTTGCAATACACTGCTTTCCAGCAACTTCAGGACGGAAACTGGGCTGTACTTCCCTTGCCTCCAGTTTCTTCCAGTTGATGAGCTTAAACCATTTGTGACCCTTTATCTCATCACTTCCCTTTGGCCCACTGCCTATCCGTTTGCTTGAGTCCTTTTGCAGTAGCTAAATAAAAGGTATGGCAGGAGAAGCTAGATAAGTATTTGACAGTCATGGAAAGTAGAACCCCAAAACAAAGAGGGCATTAATAACATCAGTGACAGAATGACACATTCAACATCAACCAAACTATATTATATGTTTGTCGATCAATTAGTAAACTAGAGATTTTGTTGGGTAACCTTTCCTGCTTTGGTTTTCGTGTTTTAGTTTTCAGGTTAAGGAAGCTAGGGGTATTTGAGACTGCCAATTAGTAATTCCAGATGTAGTCACATTTTCCGTCTGAAATAAGACCCATGCATATTTTTGTCCACCCACTTCCGGTTAATAATGATTAAGTCATTCTTTCTATACGTACTACTTATAGGAGTACTACTTATTATGAAAAATAATATTAATTTTATAAAAACGTTCTAAATTAAAACATTCAACGATATAAGATACTTATAGGAATTCCATATTGTCATGATTTTGTTTTGTTTTTCTTGAGAAACTATAACAAAAAAGGATGCTGCGTCCAAACGTATTTTTTGTGTTCCTGCTTTCAAAAGAGTGAAAATAAAAAAGTGAAAAGAATAGTGTTACATAGCAATACCCGAGTCACTCTATGTGTGTAGTGAAATACAGTTACAATACTTTTAATTTTCTTATAGAACTGAACTTACCCCTTTCAATAGAGAATGTGCTTCGCTAGATAAATATGTTGGCAGTTTGATTCTCTCCTTAATTATTTTCTGTTGAACTTTCTCTCTGTTACCAATAAAAGGAGGCTGAAAATCAGGCATAAAAATGTCATCAGCAGGTTTTTAATTTTACATAAACTTAATGTGAGGTTCCTTTCCTCGTCAAAGACAATAAAATTTGATAGCATATACCTTTCCAGTAAGCATCTCAAAAAGCAAAATCCCTACACTCCACCAGTCAGCGGCCTTATCATGGCCTTTTCCAAGAATAATTTCAGGTGACATATAATCCACCGTTCCACACATGGAGTTTGATCTCTTATCTGCCTCAAATTGTTTTGCTAAACCAAAGTCAGTCAGCATTGCCTAAAACACCATAAACCCAAAAACACAAGACATTGAAACAATGTGAATTGTATGAAAACAACAGCAAAGTTGAATCCCTAGGGTATGCTTGGATCCTGGAAAACGCTAGGAAGAAGGGCGGAAAAAGTCAATGAAAGTTTAGTTTCTTGTGATTGGTTTTACTATGGAAAATGCAAAGGAAAAAGATGACTAGTGTTTTTAAATTTCTTGTGACTAGTGTTCCTCAAATTTTCTTTTCTTCCACATTTCTTCTTTATTTTCTTTCCTTATAATTTTCCAAGTGCCCAATAGACCCTGTAGGAAGAGGAAATGGGGGGGATAGAGGAGGCGGGGGAGCATACATGGCCATCTGCATCCAGCAAAATATTTTCTGGTTTGAGATCCCTGTGCATTATACCATTTTCATGAAGATGAGACACCGCTGATACAATTTCTGCTGTATATATGCGTGCAAGATCCTCTCTGATACATAATTCAAGTATGTATCATAACCAAATTTACATGAATGTAATAAAAAGACAAAAAATGAAATATTATTGATACCTGAAAAGACCTTGACGGTAGAGCTGAAAGAATAGGTGCCCACCATTAATGAAGTCTAGCACAAGGTAAAGTCTGTATTTGGTCTGCACGAATACGATTAAAAGGACACCTTTTACTTTATTTATTTGAAGTATTTATTCTACTTGCGGGTAGGGGGCACTATGTAACCGAGATAATTAGTGATTTAAGTGTTACCTGAAATGAATATCTAAGCTGGACGACAAAGGGATGATCTATCTTTGTCAAAATATCCCTCTCTGCTTTCATGTACTCAGCATGGTTCTTTTCCATAATCTTGTCCTTCCTCATCACCTTCATTGCATAGATTTCAGATGTCCCCTTCTTTTTCACCTGAAAAACTTTTCCAAAAGCACCCTGTCCAACGAGTTTCATAACTTCGAAATCTTCAAGCCCTATCGTTTGGTCTTCTTTAATTGTTTCAATGGTTAAACTTTCCAAAACTTCCACAGATGCTTCTTCTGTTTCATGAAGGGTGAGCCGGCCAAGTTTTAAAGATTGACTCACAAATGAAGACGGACCCACCAAAGAATGTGATCGGTTGCAGATAACCTCAGGATCATCATATACGAGCTCACTTACAGTAGGACTTTCAGATATCCCATTACTTGGTTGTTCATTTAGAGGGCCAAAAACATCAGAAAAGTCCAACTCAACCTGCTCTGAGGGAACATCAGGAGGACTAAGAGGTAGAAGAAAAGCATTCGTAAAGGATTTTGGCATGTAAGACTTTGTGGTAGAAATGAGCTGAGAGAAAACCATGCTGACAGTACTGATCAGAGATGCAGATGGCCAGAGAAGAACTAAACCTCAGTCTTTCTAAACAGTTCAAAAGTTAGATCAGAATGTGAAATCCTATCAACACCCTTAATAATCAAATACAAGTCCCAGTGTAGTGTATGTCTCTTAATGAACTTAGGGAGTAAGCAAACAAGAACCCAGAAAAAGAAGCCAGTCTTGTTTCCCACTTTAGAGGAAACTGCAGATGACACGGAAATGGTTGAATTCATCAAGATACAAACGCAATACCTGTCGCACAAGTTGGTGGAAAAAAGGGTTACTAACAAGTTTATAAATGAAGCATGAAAGAATTCCAAAGATAAAACACCTGATAGGAATAGCTTAATGAACTATCCATTTGGATTGAAATTTAGTGGTCTGGTAAGTTTGGTTTGGACTAGACTGGTCTGTTTAAGTCAGTCTAGTTAGCTGGTATGGTATTATGTATGTTTTATTATTGTTTATGTATGATCTAGTTTTGACTGTTACTCAAAGCCAAAGCTACAAGAACAATTTTTGTTTATATTTCTGCATGATGTGTACTTATTAGGTGATGAAAAGTTTAACTTTGTATCACACAATAGTACATGTCACAAAGGAATACACACACAAAATGTACTCATACAATCTTCTGCTAGAGTTATTCATCATAATATATGATAAAGTAATGGATAATTAATGCAATATATCTATCTAATGTTTTCCGGTACACAACATGCATAAACAAAGTGTTCTCTAAAGTCCTTGAAGGCTCAAGATACTTTTCACCTTCGACCCATGAGCATTTTTATCTTTAACTACATTGATTAGACAAAAAGAGAGGATACTCAAACTAAAACCTTCTAAATCATTGACATACATGATACATGATACATGTTCTTCAAATCATAAATTTGCAAAACATAAGAATGGAAGGCAGAATAGAATGATTGATCTGTAATATAAAAGAACTGCCTAAAATGAATCAATCAGCTATGATACTAATATAATCCCAAAAAGGAACACAAACACATCACCTATGACGATAGGAATCAAACAACAGTACAACACTATTTTAAGTATGTCAAAGATATTATTACACATAACTAATAAATCAAGGTAACCCTAAAGTTAGGGTAAACCAGATTCATCATTCATAGATTATGACAGGCTGCACATTGATGGTTCTGTGTCCAAGTAAGAATCTTAGAGGTAAAAGAACCAGCACTAAGTCAAAACAGAAACAAAGGATAACAATTAACAGTTCAATAAATCTTCAAAATTGATACAAGCTGAACCTCTTAAATTCTTGAGTTGTAAAGAAGAGGGGCGCAAGCATTCACATTGCCGCCGTTTTCCTTTTTAATGTAATTCAAAGATTTAAGATTTAATACTTTAAGGGTTCATCATTAGAAAAATCGTAAGAGAAAAAACAGATCTGATATGATTGGAAAATCTTGGATGAATGAACAAACCTTTGGGAGTGCTTCAGCGAAGGGGGTCAGAATACGATCCAAGGTGCTTCCGCGAACAAGTCCTTTTCCGATTAGAACACACGGTCTTCTACTCTTCTCCGCGCGTCATCTTTTATGGACTATTTTGTCCTGATATTTTTTGAGAGTTTTTTTTCTAATGATGCTGAAAAAAAAAAGATTTTTGTTACCTAATTAATATTGGAAATATGGGTTTAAAACTTCACACTTTGACTTCACACAATTAAGAAAATAAATTTGACTTTACCGTAGAGTACACTGTTTGACACTGTTTAACACTGTTTTGCATTGTTTTGATGTAGATAATTTGCTAAATAAGGAAGATAGAAGAAGTATGAAGTTTATTTTGGACCTACCCAAAATGAAAAAGTGTGAAGTTTATTTAGGATCGGACGGAGTAAGTATTACGATCTTTTTATTGGATCATTTTTGGTCCCATACTATATCGGATCAGATTAAAATGGATCAAACTAAAATAGATTAGATCAGACCAGACCAGGTCAGACTTAAACAGATTATTAGACCAGATCAGACTTAAACAGATCAGATCAGATCAAACTTCCATAGTTATAAAATACACTGAGACCAGACATTTACCAAACCAAATCACACTTAAACAAACCAAACCAAACCAGACCACACCAGCAAAATTATAGTCCAAGTAAAAACACCCTTAATAATTACCCTAAATAAGATTAAATGCAAACATAATTGCACAAATAAAATTAAAAATTAAGTTTTCCACAAATAGGACTAAGAAGATATTTTCTTCGTCTAATCTGAATGTTCCGAACTAATTTTTTTAAGACCCCATCTGATTTGATCTGATTTTCCCGATCTAATCTCATATGAGGTGAATTTTTCTGAACTGATCTAATTCTTACCTCATCTGATTTGAATTTTTCTGATCTGATCTGAATCATTCTAATCAGATCTGAATCTCTCGATCTGATCTGAATATTTTTACCCGAGTGAGTGCTTATTACTATTAAATTTTATTATCATTATCATTATCATCACCATCGTCATCATCGTTGTTATTATTATTATTATTATTATATATTTATTCTTATTGTTGTTAGCATTATTATTGCTATAAAAATCTATTATTGTTGTTACTATTTTTATTATAATAATACATTTTATTATTTATTTCTCTCTCCTTCAATATGTTTTTCTTCTTATTTTAATGTCAATTAAAATATAAATGAGTAAATAAATACAATATGTGTATATGTATATATATATTATTTATTTATTTATTTATGATAAAATTGGGTGGATATACACGATTAAATAGTTGCCTTTAAGTTAATTTTATGGATTAGTAAAGATAAACTAGATAGCCTGAATTAAAGCTCATCGGTAACTATCCCTCTAAATCGGTAATTTCCTTGAGTGTCGTAAAGAGATTACGCCTTGAGCAAGCAATTATTCGCTTATAGTTCTCGGCCAATCTGTGTCAACAACTAAATCTATTGTGGAGGTGTATACCCAGAGTGAGTATATCATTGTTTTTCTATTACACTTGTGATATGAAATTCTCAATCTCAATTCTCTTGAGAGTTGAACATCTACTTCATTACAACAATACACACTACTAATTTTGGTTTCTCTTATAGCATCTCTTCATAATATTAAATTGTTAATACAAAAATAGTTACTTGTGTAGATATCAATTAAGATGTTATTATTTCTCAGTCATGAAAATTGTGAGAAAGAGTTAGAATCAATTTTAATTTACAACCCCTATTTACTTATTAGTCTCAATTATAATTTATGTCTCTTATCAATCATTTCAGTATTTTAGAAACTTAAGCTAGGACACTTTCATCTATTTGTTTGTCCATTACCAGAGCTCGTCTCCAAGAGTATGCATAGATAATATAAACAGATCAAACAAAACATAAAGATAAAAATGTCCTTAGTATGTCATATGTTCTCTTACCACTAATAATCACCACTAAATGACATATGCAATATGTGGTTAATAGATGTATATGTATATTCTATAGCTTTATAATGTGCACGTATATAAATTCTGTCGTTACGGGCTTCCTTAGCGTGGGATACAAGTAATCGTTATGTTGATGGTAAATGTTTGGAACTTGTTGACGAATCTATCACCCCCAGTTCTCTTATGGAGTTAATATATGTTTCTCTCCATGTACATCCAAATATCGAACTAAAGTTGTTGGTATCCTATGATGTGGGCAGTCTGACATTGACCATTTTGCATATTAAACAAGATGAAAACTTGTGGTGGTACTTTAGTTCACTTAGACATTCGAAATGATTTTGACTCTTCCATGTCGCTTTGCCCATTATTTTCAAGAACTAATCATCATGTGAATAATTCTTTGGAACTTGTTGAACGACTAGATTTTGAGGTAGGTGATATTTATTTTGAGGTAGGTGATGTTTATTTTAGCAAGGTTGAGGTTCAAAAAGTTTTGTTCATGTTGTCTTTAAGACACCATTTTGAGTTCAACACACTAAAGTCCAACTCTATTTCTTTAGTAGTTGCATGTACAAATGTTAGGTGTACATAGTATGTTCGCGCAACACACTGTTATGCTAGTGAGGTATGGATCATTAGAGAATATGTTAAGCAACATACTTGTGAGTTAGATGTTGCTCAGGGAGACCATAAACACGCCACAAACCTTACTATCAGTGAGTGTGTAAGAGAAAAAAATATTATCGGACAATGTACTACCCCAAAGGCTATTATGAAGCTAATTCGAAAGGATCATGGTGCTGGAATTAGTTATTACAAAGCATTACAAGCGAAGCATATTCTTTTAGAATAAAAACATGGATCAACTAAGGACTCCCACACACACATTTTTCTCAACTATATGCTATAGAAACATACAACAAATTCAGGTATCGATTTGCCTTTAATTACGACCCTCTCATTTCACTTCTACATGTTTTCCGAAATTAGTTTAATATTGTAAATGTTGTTAATTACACACGAGTTTTTCAATTGGCTGATTACCTTTTTCAATAGGCTCTGTTACAATTATCGGGACAAAAGAAGACAAGTTTTTCAAGTATTGTTTCTTCTTCGCATTTGTTGCTTCCATTGCTGGTTGGTTTCATTGTAGGCCAGTCATATCAGTAGATGGCACCTTCTTAAAAAATAACTATGGAGACATTCTATTGATTGCATCTGTTATGGATGCAAATAATCACATATCTCTGATCGCTTTTGCAATCGTTGACTCAGAGACAGATGCCTCATGGCAATGGTTCTTTTATCAGTTGAAGGAAACAATTCCACCTCGTGACCATTTAGTTTTTGTTTCTGGTAGAATACCAAGCATCCCCAAAGTCATCACCAAAGTGTTCCCATTTGCAGTCTTGCAGAGCATGGATTTTGTGTCCAACATTTGCTTGGTAACTTAAGGACAAAGTTTAAGCACCCAACAATTCCTAATATATTTAATAAATGTGCGAGGGTCTATAAGCTTTCACATTTCGGCCAAGAAATGCATAGACTGAAACAATTGGGACCAGGTCTTCGTGAATATCTTCGTGAGGTTGGTTATGAAAAATGGGCACGTTCCTACTATAGAAGATGCAGATATGGTATTGATACCGCCAACATATCAGAGAGCATGAACAATGCCCTTGAAGAAGCAAGAGATTTACCTCTTGTTCCATTGATTCAAAAAATCCAAGAGAAACTTCAAACTTGGTTTGTTGATCACCGTACAGAAGCTTCTTCAATTGTAAGTCATCTAACTCTTTGGGCAAAAGAATTATTGGGTGATCAGATATTTCGTGGCAGGCACATGTGGGTTAATATGTATCATTTTTTTCTTTCAAATATATGTCACCCATGAAACTAATTTGTGCTTCCTGAAATATGTTAATGATACATAACTTATGATCCCTTTTTTGTTGTCATCATATATTGTTGCGAATTTGTAATTTTCAACTGAACTAAACATTTATTGTATATTTCGATAGGTGCATCCCAATGATATTAACGAGTTCACTATCATGCATGATACTCATTCTTACATTGTTTATATGCAATCAGGACAATGTAGTTGTAGTGTCACGCCCCAGACCGCATCCAAGCACGTGTACAACCGCCGTGTGATCAAGTGACGTCACTCGCAAGTCAACCTCACTAAATTGCACAAGGCGTTCATGAACATCGTTCATACCATACTCAGTAAGTAAACATACATAACAACATCACATCATAGATTGAATGAATAGCGGAAAATATTCATCGGTCAATCATAAGCCACATATGGCAAAATGTAGGCTCGCAGGCCAAAACAAAGTAATATTACAAAAGTATCCATGAGCATAGTTTATGATTTTAAACAGTAAAGGAAGCACGAACCACGTCTTCCTCTAGATTCCTTTCACCCGTGCAAAGGTGTGGATGACAAGCTCTAGCTTCAACCTGAAAGGGTGGGCCCCCAAAGGGGTCAGTACAAGTACCGAGTGAGTAGCAAGCTAAATGTAGAGTAACTAATGTTTCAAGTATAAGACCCAAACATAGGGTGATACATATACTTATACATCTTCACCCCAAGTTACAAAAAAATACATATCGATACTTATATACACGTTGAAATACCTGACCCGTAGGTCATTGTTTATTTGAGAAAAATAATGTTAGTCAATGTCGTTGACTTAAACCCCAACCCACCCATAGACCTATGTGTATATAGGACTCCTCCTGTCCCCAAATAATCATAAGGACACCGTTCGGTCCTGAATTACTAAACAATAATCTATGAGTTTTGAGGATACCTCCCGATTCTTGGGTACTCCACCCTATGTAACCGAGTTTTGAGGATACCGCCCGATCCTTAGGTGCTCCACCCTACATAACCGAGTTTTGAGGATACCGCCCAATCCTTGGGTACTCCACCCGACATAACCGAGTTTTGAGGATATCGCTCGATCCTTGGGTACTCCACCTGACATAATCGAGTTTTGAGGATACCGCCCGATCCTTGGGTACTCCACCCGACATAACCGAGTTTTGAGGATACCGCCCGATCCTTGGGTACTCCACCCGACATAACCGAGTTTTGAGGATACCGTCCGATCCTTGGGTACTCCACCCGACATAACCGAGTTT